TGTGTTGGTTGGTACATTAGAGCCCTTGCTGTTATCTTTTGCACAGCAAGTAATTGTCATTTTTGACAACAGTGTTGAATCACACAGTGAGTAAATGAGCATGAGCTGAGCAACATTTCACTAATGCTTTACACTGACAATTAACTCTGTGTTTGTGTGTGTACGTTTTATTATCCTAATGGGAATGAAATTTCTAAAAATGGCCTAAGAAGAAAAGCATAAAGATTAAACCACATTCTGGGCACAGCCCCAACATGATTTAAAGCCCATAAATACAACAAAATAATACTGCAATCCATATCTAACACTGCCAAGAGTTAGTGTTAGAGTTAGTCTATTGTTATTTTATATATATTCACAGTAGATGTGAATTGGATGCCCTAACTTGGATTGATACACAATAGTGTTTGTATGTAAAACAAAGAAACAGTGGATATAAGCTCGGCCCACACTCCAAAATAATATAGTCTTTGTGCTTCGGCTCCACTCTTTCCCACTAGACTAGTGTTCTTCAAGATAAGATGAGTTTTCAGCCTTTACTTAATGCTTTCAGCTTCTTCAGATCTCATTTCAAGAGGAGTTAAAAAAAGAAAAGAGAACAATAAGCTATATAGATGTGCGTTTTCATTTCCATATGCACTCCTGTTAATTGTTTGCTCAATGGGAAATGAGTCTATGTTATCCATCTATTTTGTAATTGTGTCTACACAAGGTTTTTTTTTTTTTTTGGGTGGATATGGAAAATGTAATTAGAAGGAAAACAAATACATTCAAGTTAGATATTTTTGATATGTAGCCTATGTATTATTCCAATGAACGTAATAATAATAACTTTACTTTTCTTGTACATCGTTTTCATTATTTTGGGAAAATTTCACATACATTAGAAGAAGGTCAGGGTCCAAGCCAAATTTCATCCGTTTTCTTCAGAAGACTATATTACTATATACAGTTGTTGATTACTGAATAAATGGTTTGCACACTCTTGTACATTAGGCTACTGTTGTATATTTTGTTCTGGTTAATTTAAAAAGAAGAAGAAGAAGAAGAAGGAGGAGGAGGAGGAGCAGAAGAAGAAGAAGAAGAACCGGCATGCTTCGGTCTTCGCAGCATGAAGTCGAACACACCTATTGGTACCACAACATAATCGCTGTACCATCTGACCACTGCAGATTCATTTTGCAGTTGATAGTGTCGCCATAGAAACGCACAATCCTCTTGTAATTAGGCTACCTTAATTATTATGGCATGGCATGAACGCAGCATTCAGCTCATCCAACCCCAATCAAGCACACCTGAACAAGCTAATCAAGGCATTCCAGATTACTAGAAAGCTACAGGCAGGTGAGTTTGATCAGGGCTGGAATTGACCTGATCACCTTGGATCTTTAAAACCCCATTTTACAGAGGCTGAGATTGCAGCAACAAGTATTCGTTTTAGTTTTGTGCGCTTCGCTCCTCCTGACGCACCAATTAAGCGCATTAACCAGCAGAGATCGTTGTGAGATCGCAGTTCGGGGAGGATGGCAGCTCGAGTGTATTTCTCATTGATTGCTGTGTTATCGTGTCTGCTCGGATACTTGAGCATAACTCAGGCTATTCAAAGACGAACCACAGGTGAGAAGATCTGTTGACTTCATTACACTGCACAATGCAGAAATAAGTGACTCAGTCTTTGAAAGTAATTAACGCAGTTTAGGAATGAGTAGAAGGGTTTTAAAACCCTTTTGATTTGAAGCAGACAAATACGTAAAATTTGTATTTGGGTTTGAGACCCATTGCGAAACCCCTGATTTACAAATGCTGAAACCGCACTCCCTGGCCTCCCCTAATGATCCTCTTGAATCCTCTAGTGGACGGTTTCTGTCCGGCAAGGCTGACGGTCGTGCCATCCCATCGAGGATGTTCTTCTGATAAAGACTGCCCTGGAGGACTCAAATGCTGTCGATTTGACTGTGGGCCTGTTTGCGTGCCGCCTGTTTTCAGTGAGTTTCAGTTAATAATGGACGCTAAAGGTCCAAAAAAAAAACGCGCACACGAGTAACGCATTGAGTTCAATGCAAGTTTTAAGCAGAGACTTTGTTGTTCTCATCTAAAGTAGGTTTGAATTCATCCCTTTGGGTAGTTTAAGCACCATATGGCGTTACAAAATAAAGAGTAATAATACTTAGAACATAATTCACTCTGTAGGTAACACTTGCCGTTCATGCTGTGAGTGTTTCGTGCTGTATATTGAAGTGGCATACTGTCTATATGCACAAACTAAAGCTGATTATCGGTGTCCACACAGTGAAGCCGGGTCAATGTCCCATACCGGTCAGGGTCAGGGCCAGGGAAGGGGCCAGGGTCAGGGACAGGGCCAGGGTCAGGGCCAGGGAAGCGGCCAGGGTCAGGGTCAGGGAAGCGGCCAGGGAAGCGGTCAGGGCCAGGGAAGCGGCCAAGGAAGCGGTCAGGGAAGCGGTCATGGTCAGGGAAGCGGCCAGGGAAGCGGTCAGGGCCAGGGAAGCGGCCAAGGAAGCGGTCAGGGAAGCGGTCATGGTCAGGGAAGCGGCCAGGGAATCAGGGTCAGGGCCAGGGAAGGGGCCAGGGTCAGGGACAGGGCCAGGGTCAGGGCCAGGGAAGCGGCCAGGGTCAGGGCCAGGGAAGCGGCCAGGGCCAGGGAAGCGGCCAGGGCCAGGGAAGCGGCCAGGGCCAGGGAAGCGGTCAGGGAAGCGGTTATGGCCAGGGAAGCGGTCAGGGAAGCGGTTATGGTCAGGGAAGCGGTCAGGGTCAGGGAAGCGGCCACGGTCAGGGAAGCGGTCAGGGCGAGGGAAGCGGCCACGGCCAGGGAAGTGATTATGGCCAGGGAAGCGGCTATGGCCAGGGAAGCGGTCAGGGCGAGGGAAGGGGTCACGGTCAGGCAAGTGGTCAGGGAAGCGGCCACGGTCAGGGAAGTTGTCTGGGATGTGGTCCGGGAAGTTGTCAGGGATGTGGTAATTGAAATGGTCATGGGAATTTTGCATAATACTTGCTGATCTTTTCAATTCAGTGCTTTTATTCATATGGCATGTTTTCCCTGTTTGCTCAAACAGTTTAGGAAGATTTTGTCCCTCTCCCACCCCGACCTCAAATAAAAATTGCTTGATTGAAGAGTTTGTGTTTTTGGTATCATTTGGCTGTTTTCTCGCATAACTAATCAACTGAAATACAAAAGACATTAAATCTTTGGTGATCTCAGCAGAGAATAATTAAACAACTCCACAAATCTTTCGTGATCTCAGCAGAGAATGATTAAACAACTCCACAAACAGCATCACCAGCTTCACTCATTATTAACCAGACTGACTTTATTTCTGTCAGACATCTACAAAAGCGCTTATTGAGAATAAACAGAGATTTAGATGATGATTTTTATTGTTTCATTTGACGCTACAATCAAGGTGATTAGTGTTTGCCTTGACTTTATAACATTATATTTTTTGGGCTGCTGTAACGGTGTTTGTAAAGAACATTTGTTACGGCAAGGAATACCAAAAAGAGACCGCAACCAGGTGATATCGGTTTGTTATTGGAGACAACACAATCTTCCTCCAGATTCAGTATGCAATCTTTGTGAGGAGTTAATCTAATGTTTCTAATTATAATAGCTCTTTGATTATACAGTATAGGATCCAACAGTGTAATTTACGAAGGATTTTAAAAGCATGATGAATCACATCACCGTCATTTAAAAACCAAGAGAAACATCAAGAATCAGTGTATGAATCTCAACAATGGTGACAATCAAAAGCTTCATGCTGCAATGCATGCTGGGTACCTAGTCTCTGTGCAGTGAGTGCACTTTGACCTCACATTATGAGCACACAATGAGGTTACACTTTTAGCTCACTGTGACCTCATCACGAGTATCCTGGGAGCTCATGGTGACATCACTGTGAGATCTAAGTGTTAACTGGGAAAGACCGCATGTTCCTAGGAGACATTGATATTCTTAAACACAGTTGTACTAATAAATATAGGAATATTATAACAGGTTATACAGGTCAAAAGCGTATTGTGGACCAGTGTATTTATAATTGGAATAAAGCTTGGCGTGTTTGTGAAATATACTGTTTAAATAAAGTAAAATAGGCTATATTTAAAATGTTTCATGGTATATGCAGCTAGAAGTGTGTTAGAGAGATTTAATCTGGATATTGATTATTCCTGATCTGTACTACAGCTAAAGCTCATAAATAATTATACAGGTATAATAGTAGATTTTCATCTGTTGTTGCATTGTTTATAAGAGACACTCATCCTTTCACATAGTACAATGAGGTGTGGGGAAAAAATTGAAAAGGCAATGCTTTGTTGTATAAACATTTAGGTAACCACATTATTATGCACCGGATCAAACATAAGCTCGATTTAATGGCACTGTGATGCACACATTTTCTATGCTATAATATCCCCTCGCGTTACTTTGTAGATTATAACTGCTCACACGAAGTTTGGATAGAGACCGCTATTATTTATTAAAATAATGCGGATGCATGCTGGGTACCTAGTTTTATATTATTATTTATTAAAATAATGCGGAGCTAAATGGAGCTTTTAGACATAAAATCAATTGATCCAACTGATTTGTAAAACGATTCTCTTTTGAAACGCTCGAAACGCCTTACACTTGCGACACCTGCTGGCCAAAACCACGTGCAACGAGAACACAGACCGAACGTGTATTTAATGACACATTTACAAATCATTTGCAAAGGCCAGTGTAATCGATTAAATGCAATATACAAAACACATTAAGTGTATGTTTATTTTTGTTCTTGATTTTATTAATTTGTACGAACCTACATTATAAAACTGAACCCCGATCAGTTAAAAACTACATTAGACGCTGGTTTATTTATTTATTGCCCTCTAGCGGCGAAACATTTAAATTCCAAAAAGAATCAAACCAGTATGTGACGTAACGAAGCATCGTTTGCTGAAACCACGTGATTGGTCGGTTTCGAAACCCTGATTCAAAACAAAAGATTCATAGTTTCGAAGCTTCGTGTTGTGAATTTGCCCATTACCACATTATGCTTTCCTGTTTTAAATCAAAACAGATTTAGGTGTGGAATCTCTAATAAGGAAAACGGTGAATCAAACCTGACTGATGGAGCGATCTTCGAAATAATCGGGATGGAAAATTGCCTGGTTATAAAGATGGAACAGCATGAAAACAGCCATACAATGCCAGATGTGAAGACAAAAACCGGCCAGTCCTCACCTAGGCAAAGGCGGGAGAATAAAAGACAATGTAAGTTGGTTATTTGCCACATAAAAATAATCTGTTAATTCGGTTATTGTTTGATCTTGACTATTGAAAAATTACGTGTGTCAAATGATAGACAAGTGTTTAGCTTGCTCCAGATGTTTTGTCAGACCAACTAGGCTACTTTAAAATTCGTTGACTAAAACTGACTCCAGAGATGCCAAAGGCCGTCGAGACAGGGCAGTGATAAAATGCCCAATTTCTCAAAGATGTTGTCATTGGAGAAATTGATCCCAATTGTATTTAATGCCAAATGCCTCCTCCATGCGAAAACCAATTAATTCACGTAACAGGTTAGAGAAACTGGGGAGCAAAACATAATTATAGTTGGAACATATATTTATACATACAGTTGAATATACCAATATATTGACGTGTGATAATAATAATAGTGCCTCCAGACTCAGGGTCTATTTCTGAGTCTGTTATTTTGTCTGCTGTGTGTAACAACAGAAAAAATTCTAAAAATGGCTAAATCATCAAGACTCTCGAGCTGCGTCCGAAATCGCATACTTCTATACTATATAGTAGGCGAAAAACAGTATGCGAGGCGAGTAGTATGTCCGAATTCATAGTATTCGAAAAACAGTAGGCGAGAAGTACCCGGATGATTTTGGCGCTGTTGTGAAGACGCATGTCACGTGACAACATCAACATGGCGGATGTAGTACGTCCGAATTCCATTCATACTACTCTCATTCATACTATATAGAACGTACTTTTTTAACGGTCGAGTAGTACGTTCAATTTCAAATGTAGTACCTACTAAGCAGTATGCGATTTCAGACGCACCCTCGCTCATGGCCAACTAACTGCAACACCAAATAAATAAAAAAATAAATAAAACTAGCATCAAGAACACTGCAACAATAATGCAGTAATATTATTTATTGCCCTTAAATTGATTACTGAGATGTTTATTTTAGATCAGAAGGAACTGAAAGAAGATTCTGTCACTCGCCATCAACGTGGGATGCCTTTCATTCAACAAGCAAACCTTAAGCAGCACATGAGAAGTCACTCTGAAGAGAAAGCTTTCAGCTGCTCTGAATGTGGAAAGAGTTTCAAAAAGAAGAGGATCCTTAAAGACCACATGACCATTCACTCTGAAGAGAAAGCTTTCACCTGCTCTGAATGTGGAAAGAGTTTCAAAAAGAAGAGGATCCTTAAAGACCACATGACCATTCACTCTGAAGAGAAACCTTTCACCTGCTCCGAGTGTGGAAAGAGTTTCAAAATGAAGAGGATCCTTAAACAACACATGAAAGTTCACTCTGAAGAGAAACCTTTCACCTGCTCCGAGTGTGGAAAGAGTTTCAAAATGAAGAGGATCCTTAAACAACACATGAAAGTTCACTCTGAAGAGAAACCTTTCACCTGCTCCGAGTGTGGAAAGAGTTTCAAAATCAAGAAGATCCTTAAACAACACATGAAAATTCACACTGGAGAGAAACCTTTCGCCTGCTCTGAGTGTGGAAAAGGTTTCACAGTGAAACAAAACCTTAAATATCACATGAGAAATCACACAGGAGAGAAACCCTTTACCTGTCCTGAGTGTGGAAAGAGTTTCATTGTGAACAAGAGTCTTAAACAACACATGAAAGTTCACACTGGAGAGAAGCTTTTCACCTGCTCTGAGTGTGGAAGGAGTTTTGCTTTTAAACAACCCCTTGAGAAACACATGAGAATTCACACTGGAGAGAAACCTTACATATGCCCTGAGTGTGGAAACAGTTTCAGAGACAGACAAAATCTTAATGTTCACATGAGAATTCACACTGGTGAAAGGCCTTATGTCTGCCCTCAATGTGGAAAGGGTTGCAGATTGAGACAAAACCTTCAGAATCACATGAGAATTCACACTGGAGAAAAGCCTTTCATTTGCCCTCTGTGTGGAAAGAGTTGCAGAATGAGACAAAACCTTGAGAGACACATGAGAATTCACACTGGAGAGAGACCTTTCACCTGCTCCGAGTGTGAAAAGAGTTTCACAATGAAACAGCGCCTTACGAGACACATGAGAATTCACACTGGACAGAGGCCTTTCGACAGACCAGAAAACCCACCAGCTATTGAATATGTGATATAGTCAATCTGTTTAAATGATTAGGCCATTTGACACAATAAGACTAAATGGAATACCGTAACTGAGAGTTTTTACAATTAGTTTACTTGCAGCAACTGCAGTCATAATCTTGATGATTCGTTTAAAACTTGTATAGCCCTAACAGAAATACATACAGTAGTCAACATTTGAAGTGGATCAAAAAAGTTCATCAAAGTTGTCCTAAGACAAGAACGGGTATTGTTTTGGTTTTAGGACAACTTTGATGAAAGGTTTTGATCCACTTCAAATTTTGACTACTGTAGTTAGTTAAATAGCAATGTTTTTAAGTTTTTTTCCCATTATTTGTATATTTCTTTACTCATTTATCATATATACATTTTATATATCCCTATATACATTATATATTGCCTTCCTTAAAGGGTTAGTTCACCCAAAAATGAAAATTGGCTTGTGTTTTACTCACCCTTGAAGCATCCTAAGTGTATATGACTTTCTTCTTTCAGACGAATACAGTCGGAGTTATATTAAAAATTGAAATGTCTGAGGATTTCGATAAATGCCAAGAGGAGACTGTTTTTCCTTTGCTAAAGTAAGGAAACTTTGCTTCCCTTGCTCCTTAAACAAACTCGTGAGACTAACATATCTCAGAGGCGTGCGCGCTGCGCATACGTCATACGCCTTCCGTCTATGCTTCCGCGTATGACAGATAATGGAAGTGAGAGAACAGTGTTTATTACGTTTGAAATATGGATATTTTTCTTACAAAAACGCATGGATTCACTACAGAAGGCCTTTATTCACCCCCCGGAGCCGTGTGAGGCGCCTTTTATTATGGATGCGCACGCTTTATTTGAGGACTTGTGGACTGTTCAACTGCAACACCCGCAGACTGCAATGATAGAGCTTGGAATAGCCAGGACAATTTTTAATATAACTCCGACTAGATTCTTCTGAAGAAGAAAGTCATATACACCTAGGATGCTTCGAGGGTGAGTAACAGCAAAAAAAATGGCTGCCCACTGGTCCGGGTGTGTGTTCACGGTGTGTGTGTGTGTTCACTGCTGTGTGTGTGCACTTTGGATGGGATAAATGCAGAGCACTAATTCCGAGTATGGGTCACCATACTTGGCCACATGTCACGTCACACTTTTTTAAATATTTATTTTGCCATGTTTTTCTAATGATGTGTAATCTTACGTTGTGCAAAGAAAAACATTTAGAGCTCTTAGACCCAAACTATATGCATAATATAAAAACTTTAAACACAAAGGGACAAGCATCTACCGTCATTTTGTGTGCTGAAATGAGAGAAAACTCCATCTGAATAAGACTAAGTTCAAGAGACAAATGTAGAGTGCTACACATACAGAAAAAACTCTTCCAGTGCCAAATTATATATTTTTTCCCATAAATACATTATTGAAACTGAATCGAGAAACTCAATTGTGCACATTAAAACGGAAACAAAAATGGTTAAAACCATATTAGATGCTGAATTATGTATTAAACAGATCAACACCCCCTAGAGGTGAATCATTGAAATGTCTAAAAGTTTCGAACCAATGCATGGCATAGTGAAGCCTCATTTGCTGAAATCACGTGACTTGTCTTGGACAGTTGATTCGCACTCCGAACCACTGATTCAAAATAAAGATTTGGATCACCTTTCTCAGTGTTTTGTCATTGCTTATTTTAAATATTTAATTGCTTATTTTAAATTTATAATATGATTTTTGGTTGCATAATATTTGTTAGTGGGTAGAGTGAACAAAAATGACTCATTGAGCGATCTGTGAAAGAAATGGGGTCCAACATTTCCTGGTGATAAAGATGGAGCAGCATGAAAACAATTAAACCCCAGAGACACCAGATGTGCAGACGAAAACCTGCCAGTCCTCACCTGGTGAAGAGCGGGATTATAAAAGACAGTGTAAAATGGTTAGTTGTCACTTACAAAGAATCAAATAAGTTAAAAGAATATGGTAATTGTTGGTCGTGACTAATGAAAAATTGTCTAAAATTTGATACATGTAAGTGGTTACTAAATGTCCGTAATAATTGGGAATTTGTCAGACCAAATATATTTTAAAATTAGTTTGATTAAAATGTTCTGTAAAAAATGTGATTTCAGTCAGCGAATCACAGAAAGTGTTGGATCCTTTTTACACCTGTGTATTAACAGATAAAAGTGAGATGGATATTAGTACCAGGGGTAAATTGAGACTAACAGTGTCTAACAGAGTGCTCTCTCTCTCTCTCTCTCTCTCTCTCTCTCTCTATATATATATATATAGATGCTAAAGCAAAGTGAATTTAGGCTACACAATACTAGATTTGTATAAACGTTGTCAAATTTAATGACCTCTGTTGCATTCAGGGTTGCAAATCTATAACTATCTAACATTTACTGTCCTTGAATTTATTTTTTTATATTATTTTTTTTATTATTGTTTTAGATCTGGGGGAACTAAAAGAAGGTTCTTTCATTTGCCATCAGTGTAGCATGTGTTTTGTTCAACAAACAAGTCTTCAAAAGCATATGAGAATTCACACTGGAGAGAAGCCGTTCAACTGGCCTCAATGTGAAAAGAGTTTTACAGTAAAACAACACTTTAAGAATCACATTCGAACTCACACTGGAGAAAAACCTTTCACCTGCCCTCAGTGTGGAAAGAGATTTGCACAACAAGGACAACTTAAATGTCACATGAGAAGTCACACTGGAGAGAAGCCGTTTAACTGTCCTCATTGTGAAAAGAGTTTCACAATTAAACGAAACCTTGAGATTCACATGAGAATTCACACAGGGGAAAAGCCTTTCAGCTGCTCTAAACGTGGAACAAGTTTTACAGTAAAACGAAACCTCACCAGTCACATGAGAATTCACACTGGAGAAAAGCCTTTCACTTGCACTGAATGTGAAAGGAGTTTCACAGTGAAACGAAATCTGGACAGTCACATGAGAATTCACACTGGAGAAAAGCCTTTCACCTGCCCTCAATGTAAAAAGAGTTTTAAAGTGAAACAAAGCCTTGAGAGTCACATGAAAATTCACACTGGAGAAAGGCCTTTCACCTGCACTGAATGTGGAAAGAGTTTCACAGTGAAACGAAACCTTGAGGGTCACATGAGAATTCACACTTAAGAGAAGACTTCTACCTGCTTTGAGTGGGAAAAGAGTTTCACAGTGAAACACAAGCATAATATTCTCATGAGAATAGTCAAGTCAGGTGATTAGCATTGCATATTTATATTTATTTATTCAATATCCATTTCATGTATTCCTGTACGTTTCATTTACTGATTCTTGGCATGTTTTTCTAATGCTGTATAATGCTGTGTTGTACAAAGAATAACATAGGTTCATTAATCTGTGCAAGGCAGAACCGTAACTGATGGAAAGAATAACTGTTGTCTGACTGTGTCAGCCTCGTTGCTACAGAAGAATTAACTTGACAATATGTGACCCTGTCTGTGAAATCCAGGCTAAAGTCTCATAATCTAATTATGATATAACAAGCACCAAAGTTTGATTTCAACCATTAATTTAACTGATTTCAATCTTTGACATGGCCTTACTCAGTCAATATTAAAGATATAAAGGTTATATTTTCACAAAAAGTTTTACATCTTAACAGTAAATCACAAAAAAAATACTTGAGCTGGGTTTTCACAGGCAGGGTCACATATGTTTGAATACCTTTGAATATCAGACAATAATCTTGAAGGAGAGAAGCTGGCGGGAGGCAACGACAACTTCTAAAATGTCTGGTGTGAGAAAATCCTGTAGTTTTTCTCACTGAGCTTCTGCAAAACAGAAAGTCAGTGTAATTGTTCATCATTTTCATTCAAAGAATTAAATAATTGAGTCAGACTGTGCCTTTGCATTGTTTCAGAGTGTCTTCATCAAATCCTGTAACCCCACATTCATTAAATTTATTCAAAATATGCACATAATGCCTACTATGCTGAAAACAGCTCCATTAATGTTTCTTTTTTCGTCCCATTAAGTTACAAAAAAAAAAAAATTTTGATAATGTCATATCGGCTCAATAAAACACTTACAAATAATTATCCCAAAACAGAAAGATGGATTGTGGTATAGGCTGTTTCACCGAACAATTGATCTCAATATACTGTCTAAGTGGAAAAAGTCCTACATTCAAATGACTGTAGCCTACCTGCGCAACATGCGTCTGAGGAAAACCGTTGGGATTGTGAATTCAAATGCGGATGCGCGGGAGATAAAGCGGAGCCGATTTCAGCCAAATACGAAACAAACATCAGTCCCAAGAGAAGACATATTCCTCATTACAGGCCTATTCATCAAGATTCAAGACGTTATGGTGAGTATTGAGCACTGTAAATCACTGAAATCATTTTCTAAAGATTTTGTCAGTAACACTTTAAGCAGCTTAAAGCTGGATATATTTAGGCTATACATGTCATGAAATAATAAATCAAAATCTATACCGATTGACATTAATTAAGTAACTTCAGTTCTGTCACTTGCCTATTTAATGCGGGGAAACTTTGTCATTAATGTTAGTTTTGCCGTGAACCGCTTTTGAAAATTGTATTTAATAAATTATTCAGAATTGATGTAGAAAACCTCTTGAATGTGTTTTTCTTAATTAGAATAAGGTACCTCCGCCAAATATTCTGTGATTTGTTAATAAAGAGAGGTGAAAAAATGTCAACTTTGTTTTCTGTTCTGTATTTTGTTTAATGTATTTCTGTTTTTAGTACATTATTTTTTTTTTCTTTTGGGACAATTGAAAATAAACAATTGCTACTACAAGTTGAGATATTTAATTACTCCAACTACACTGTTTGGTAAACAAATTTTTTCCATTGGCTCTAACTTACATATTTCTGATTGAGCTAATGTTAATAAATAATTAATAGTTCATGTTAATTGATCAAATTCATTTTAAAGAAATTCAGTTAGTCCAATTGAAATATTATATAATATTATTAATTTATATATAATCTATGGAAAATATATAGAAATATTTATTGATTAATTTATTGTCTTTGTAACTTACAAAGCCTAACATTAAATTAAACAACACTGAATTCACTGCCCCCTATTGGTAATATATCGAAATGTCCAATTTATGACGTACCGAAGCCTCGATCGCTGAAATCACGTGACCTGGCTAGTTTGACGCGTGCTCCGAACCACTGATTCAAAACAAAAGAATCGTTGACGTTTCGGATCTTCGTGAACCAGTGTTTTGAAAGCGCCCATCGCTGCATTAATACTGCTTATATTTGAAACCAGATCAGTTTCGATTGTAGAATGTCTTTTAGAGAATAGAACGAATTAAAACTGACTAACGGGTATCTCACAGTGTCTTCATCAAAATTCCTGTAACCACATTCATTAAATTTATTCAAAATATGCACATAATGCCTACTATGCTGAAAACAGCTCCATTAATGTTTCTTTTTTCGTCCCATTAAGTTACAAAAAAAAAAAAATTTTGATAATGTCATATCGGCTCAATAAAACACTTACAAATAATTATCCCAAAACAGAAAGATGGATTGTGGTATAGGCTGTTTCACCGAACAATTGATCTCAATATACTGTCTAAGTGGAAAAAGTCCTACATTCAAATGACTGTAGCCTACCTGCGCAACATGCGTCTGAGGAAAACCGTTGGGATTGTGAATTCAAATGCGGATGCGCGGGAGATAAAGCGGAGCCGATTTCAGCCAAATACGAAACAAACATCAGTCCCAAGAGAAGACATATTCCTCATTACAGGCCTATTCATCAAGATTCAAGACGTTATGGTGAGTATTGAGCACTGTAAATCACTGAAATCATTTTCTAAAGATTTTGTCAGTAACACTTTAAGCAGCTTAAAGCTGGATATATTTAGGCTATACATGTCATGAAATAATAAATCAAAATCTATACCGATTGACATTAATTAAGTAACTTCAGTTCTGTCACTTGCCTATTTAATGCGGGGAAACTTTGTCATTAATGTTAGTTTTGCCGTGAACCGCTTTTGAAAATTGTATTTAATAAATTATTCAGAATTGATGTAGAAAACCTCTTGAATGTGTTTTTCTTAATTAGAATAAGGTACCTCCGCCAAATATTCTGTGATTTGTTAATAAAGAGAGGTGAAAAAATGTCAACTTTGTTTTCTGTTCTGTATTTTGTTTAATGTATTTCTGTTTTTAGTACATTATTTTTTTTTTCTTTTGGGACAATTGAAAATAAACAATTGCTACTACAAGTTGAGATATTTAATTACTCCAACTACACTGTTTGGTAAACAAATTTTTTCCATTGGCTCTAACTTACATATTTCTGATTGAGCTAATGTTAATAAATAATTAATAGTTCATGTTAATTGATCAAATTCATTTTAAAGAAATTCAGTTAGTCCAATTGAAATATTATATAATATTATTAATTTATATATAATCTATGGAAAATATATAGAAATATTTATTGATTAATTTATTGTCTTTGTAACTTACAAAGCCTAACATTAAATTAAACAACACTGAATTCACTGCCCCCTATTGGTAATATATCGAAATGTCCAATTTATGACGTACCGAAGCCTCGATCGCTGAAATCACGTGACCTGGCTAGTTTGACGCGTGCTCCGAACCACTGATTCAAAACAAAAGAATCGTTGGCGTTTTGTGTTCAGCACAAGAATAAATAAACATTAATACATGTTTGGTACAACATGACTGAGTAAATAATGACAGAATTTAAATTTTTGGGTGAACTATCCCATTAATGATAAGCGGCACCATGTTTAGTACTGCTACTTTAAGAGCTTTCTCTCAACTGTCTACTTTCACTTTAGACATAATTAACTGTGTTTATATGTAAGCCTTGTGTGTTTTTGACAGTATTAGCGCAATCAGACGATAACTAAGTAATCAGGTGCTGAATGACCGCCCGTATGGACGCTTCGGGTGCACACGCTCTGAATAAGCACATGTTAGAACAGCACGCAAATGAAAAGTTTAACCAGCAAGGCTTTAAAGCATGCGGAAATAATGTACTTTTGTGATTGCGAATAAGTGCAGTGTCTTGTGAGTGTAACTCTACCGAATCAACGTGATGTGAATGTGTCTCGCGAGTTGCAGTTGGAGCTGGAGCCGGGAGACATGGCCTAATACAGCGCATTGCTTGAGGTAGATGTTGTATTTTGTTAGTAAATGTTTCATTATATTACTAATGTTGGCTCCTTTGTTCACTATTACACTACTGCAGGGGCGTAGGCAGCAGACGGGTCTGGCGGGCACAGGCCCACCCACTCTGATGAAAGGCCCCCCAGTTTATTATACACATATAGCCTAATATTTGTTAAATAATTATTGTTTAATCTATTTTAACACAATTATAGAACTATTATAACATCTCAAATAACTAAAATAAATAAAATGTGTTTTGCATAATTCTTGATTAATTTGATTGACAGCAGTGTTAGCCAATTGTTATCCAGGCTGTTCCGGGCATGTCGCGCATGTAAATTCGTGCGTGTTCACCCATTCAGTTGGACTGTAATTTGCAGCTGTGTTAGAAAATGTTAGAAAAACAGCAGCAATGCATAATTCTGTAAAAAAAAAGACTTGCACTGACGAGTGCCAAGTAATGGTAAGACTTTCAGTTCCACGTGCGAAG